GTGCATGGTAAAGGGGTAGTTTAAATCAGGCATCTAACACACACATACACATACAGCTCGATGTGATATTTGACCTCTCTCGCCCTAGAGCGACCACAGCGAAATGAAGCCACTCATTTTCATACTTCAGCTGTGGCCTGAGAGACAGTTATGGTGAGAGGTTACACAAAGACCCACATACACAACACACACACACACACATCATTCTGGTGCAGCGGTTTGGTCAGAATTACTTCAAAGCTGGACTGTCTTGAAATCAGAATCATATGTTGCTGACACAGCCTTAATACAAAAATACACACAGAACTGAACGCACACTTGCTCTCTCGCACACACACTCGACACAGCCACGGGGAAGAGAAGCTCACCCTAAACAACCCTTAATTTAGCCCTTTTTAACACTCTTAATCCTGAAAACATTGCATAAACCATTAGAGCATTTCTAGCAGCCACACACTTGTGTGTCATTACGTGCATTTCATGCAGTTATAATCTTGTGACTGCTCACCATTTTTTCACTTTCCATCCTTCGCTTTTTTCTTTCTCTTTCCATCATCTTTAGCGCTCCCTTGACTGTATGACGGTACTGTTTCCATTGTCATGCTTTTCAAATCAACTTCTCAAACACACATACATACTGTACACAGCTTTTTTGAAAATTTGATATCTTTCAGCAAGATACGTTTATAGAGGTACAATTTTGATGAATGAGTAAATGGTGTGGTTTGGTTTCTAAATCATTTTTCTTTTAAACGTGGGGTCAGAGCTGATCTCTGTCAAAGTGAATACCATAATGAGGTCCCTAAAATCACGAGAAACACGAAAGCTCAAATAACTCTCATCCAAATGGTTCTGAATTGAATTCAGGTTCTGAAGCCGCCCTCAAACAAACAATGAGCCAGGATCCATTTCAAACCTGTACTGCTTCATGAATCCACACAAGAGTGACATGATCAGCACAGTGTCTTTCTGGAAGACATACTGGAATTAAACCAGCCCATAAAAGACAGAGAATTCTCAGAATCTCTCTTCACAATTAGAAACAGACACAGAATCTGACCAAGCACAGACTTACTGACCCCAGTCCAGACATGGAAAAATACCCAAACAATAAAAACACACATAACTTGAAAGCGATGTCAAGAGGACTGCATATTTTTGTACTTGTATGCCTAAATTATTTTGATTCCAAAAGAACCTAAATAAGAAATATATTTTATTTCATTGGTTAAACTTGTATTACCCAAATGAGAACCGCGCAACTTTTTTCAACTGTATTTTAATCAATATCAAAAGCAAAACATCCTGAGTATTTCAATTATATTGGGTTGTTAATATTAGTTTTGAGTGACTGACCAACTTGTTCATGCGTCTTAAACTAACTTAAAAACAACAATAATGCTGATAAACATGAGTGTACATTACATGACAGAGTCTGGAAAAAAAAATAGAAAACTAACGATTTGAGATCTTGAAGATTATATTTCTCACCCCAGTGGCTAATTGTTATGAGCATAAACCTCACTTTTTAACCTTAAGCATAAACTAAATTTGTTAGATTTATGTTTATGTAAAATTTATTTAAATAATGCCAATGTGATAAGGGAAATAAAATGGAAGCAAAATATGAAGAGTTCAGATGCAAAAGCCTCTAAATGCCATTTGAAATTGTCTTCTTTAATGATGATTTTTTATCATACTTGTATATTTAAGTTCCGTGATTTCACTTTAAATGGCAATGAAGATTACCTATTAATTTTTATTTAAGTGAAATTACTGAACTTAAGTATACAAGTTTGATAAAAATCATCATTAAAGAAGAAAATTTCAAATGGCATTTAGAGGCTTTTGCATCTGAACTCTTCATATATTCTCTGAAAACAAGCACCCTTTTGCAAATGTAATGTTTTAAAGGATATTTTTCATGATTAAAAATAAATAAATAATCATAATTTAGGCAACAGCACAAGGTGACTGGAGCACTTGAGCTAAATGTTGCGGCACAGCTTGAGAGGATAAAGTTAAACATGTATGACTCGGAGGCTGAGACAAAGATACGCGAGTGCAGACCCGGTCTGCTTCAAAGAACCTCAGCAGACAGACTGGAGACGATTTGACAAATAGCTACATGGATAAAGGAAAGGAGCAAGGAGATTTCAAGAAGCTAAGTTGCCCTCTGGAGCCAATGCTCTGAACCTCTGTAGGGACTACATTGTCTGCATATCGACTCGAGAATCCTGGGACGTGTACAGCCTTCTATATATGAGCCGATCATTCAAATCTCTAAATCTAGATTTGTACTATAACATGTCCTGAAAGATTACAATTTATATTACAGACGAAATTGAGGGTGCAGCTGAACTATAAAGAGAGAATCTTTTCAGTTCTTCCTCAAATGGATTAAAGGGGCCGTTTTAGGGTACGACGAGGGTGGCATGACGATATGGTGAGTGTTGGTCTCTGCTGGAAAAGGAAACATAGTAGTCAGCATCATAGAAATCAACATACTGTGTGAGGGTACAGGAGAGGCACAGAGAGAAAGAAACTCAACACCAAGCTGAAAAAGTATAATATAGTGACAGCAGATACTCGTGGATGGATAAAAAGCACCTGGAGTGACGCTGTAGCAACCAAAAAAGCCTGACAGACACCCTCAAGGCGGGTGGGCAGAGCGACGCCTAATGATGTGTCAGTATTAATGAGGTCTGCAGCTGCATCCATTTGCTCAGGCACTATCACAACAAGCTAAATGCTAATAACTAACTATTCATTATCAAACCACACAACAACATGGTGCTAACAAAATATCATTCATGTAATAATTAAAACACACCATAAACCTTAACCACAAGTAGTGCGAGTAAAGCAGACAAACCCATGTAAAAATCTACGCAGTAAATGTTTTTTTACTTAGGAATTTTGAGCGCATAATTAGTTCAATATGCTTTTCTTGACTTTGTGTGTGTTTTAAAAAGCATTCTGGTTTGAGTGGTCAGTTTAGATGTTTGAAAACATCTTGCTTACATTTAACACACAAACGGGGTGTTTTATATTAAACTGCATCTATACTTATGCCAAAGTACAATCAGTTCAGGGACTCGCTGTATGTAAACAATGTAAATGCAACATACCAATAGCACACATTGAAGAAAAACAACTCAAGAGGCTTTTGCTGAGGAGCGAATGGATGCGTGTGAAACTGTCACGCTCTAAAGTCTCTCGCTGAGTTATTAACTTGAATGACCAGTGAAAACAAGATGACCAGACAGCAAAAACCACTGAACCCAGAACACAAACACATTTCAGCAAAATTATTTTAACCAGACTCATCCTGTTTACCAGAGCAAGATAAAGGAGCTGGTTGCTAGGGAGTGTGTGTGCGCGCGAGTGCGAGTGCAAGAGAGAAACAGAGAGAGACAGAGAGAGAGTGTTTTACTGGATCTAATAGCAGCCCTGCTGCTTTCTGGGGGTGTAGTTGTGGTGATGGGTCAGTGGAGGTGAAGTGGATTATGGGACATGTCTGGGCATCATGGCCAAGAGACCAAAAACTCAGTGAGGCAAGACAACCAATGAGACATGCCTGACTGAAAGTGTCTCTACCTCCCACCATCCTTGGGGAAAGAGTTAAAAAAAGAAAGCGAGGTAAAAAAGAAAAGGAGTGTGTTAAAATTACCATGCAGTTCCCTGCTGTTTTCATCTGGTATGCTAAGGGTTTAGCATGCATTTATGCTGAATGTGTTCGAAATCTTTAATTCTGAATGAATCATTAATCAGCGCTTCAGTTCAACTGTTGCGTGCTGTTTGTGGCTGGAAAATCATCCCTCACTGAAAACCTTTCACAGAAGCATAACTTGTGCAGATTTACACAAACATGCCACCATTAAAGCCTGTTCGTGCCTTTCTAACTCTATTTGTGACTTAATTACTCACACGTTGTATTACAATGTGAGTTTATTTCTTATTTTAAACTATTTCAAATACCCATTTTATTTTTTTCTCTTAAGGTAGAAACTGGCTTCAATATTACACACACACACTTTCCATTGACTAATGAAATTTTCTATTCCTTAATTCCTAAACCATCAGTCTGAGGGCCTTTGGCTTGTCCAAACAATGTGATTTCCAGTTTTACTAACATTTTGGGGACATTTGGACCCCATAATATAGACAAGAACCTGACCCAAACACACGTTTAGGAAGCTATCTAAAATGGGACTCATTAACTACTATTGTATTTAGCTGTTTTTAGTTGTGAAATACAACTTTACAGAATTTTAAGAAGTAAATCAATACTTTTCAATTTGTGTGTGAAGCAATACATTCAGGGGTACAACACCTTGTCCATAGGGCAGTAGCCTTAGGGCCAAATTTATGAAACGGGGCAAATTAGCGTGGGAACGCAATTCCAAAAATGTGCAGATGGGAGTGTACAGTTGTGCGCATGATCTACAGACAACGTGCAAATTAAAGAACACATACGCAGCCGGATCATTTCCATAAAGACTAATGTAATTTACCGAGAGCAGCTCAAATTAGTGTCCGGTTTAAGACATGCTTTTTTTGAGTAGTGAATAATGGCGCAAATATCAATAGACGAGCGCAAACCTTAGTAAATCACCCCATTCATTTAAATACTCTCCTCCCATAAATTTGGCTCCTGAAAGGGAAACTCCTATAAATGCATATGCAATAAGGTCAGCCACAAAAATAACCCTGTCCACGTCTATTCAGCGCTAATTTTTCACTGCGTGTCTTTAGTAAATCCTGACAGTAGTTGATGCAAAAACAGGGTTTGTGCTGGTGCAAGCTGTTAGTAAATCTGGCCCTAAGGGTTCTAATATGCAACTTTTAGGGGTAAAGTCCCTTTAAGGGTACTGCCCCAGCAACAACATGTTGCACCCCTAAAGGTACAATCTCTGCAAATATTTCCGAATGAATGAAAATTGGTTCCCAAAAGTATAGGTAGGTTAGACAAATACAGAAAAGCTGGATTTACTTACAGGTGATGTAATAGTTTGTGAGGCGTTTGAATTCAAGCCCCATGTAGTTTGGACTGAACTCCTGGAACTTGATGGTGAATTTGATGTCTTTCTCTGGTTTGTTGCAGGTCACCAGAACATTGGGGTCCAGTATGGTGCTGCAGGACTCGGCCTGCTCTTTCTTCACCAGGTAGAGTTTATAAAACTCATACGGTCTCCCAATGTCCCCTTTGGGGCAGATAATGTCCAGTTTGTCACCAATTTCTGGGTAGATCACCAAGCCCTTTCCAGACACAAACCTGCAACACAAAGCATATAAAGTTACAATAAATCACAATCACATTTAAACAATCCTCTCTGAGACTGAATCTCAGTAGAATCTGCATCTCTGTGGACTCAATCATGAGAGGAAAAACTTTGGTTCAAATAGCCCACTGCCAAGAACCTCCACAAAACGCTCCAGAGGGACTATCGGCGTTTCTTTTTTTCATTTTAATAACATATTTCAAAATATTAAACAATTCCAAATATGAAAGACAGAGAGCAACAGAAGAGCAGAGTCAGAAATGAGCTGGATGGAGATGGAGCTGAATCTGCTGACTAGGATTTATTGGACAGGGAAATAGAAGCATCTCACTTAATTTATTAGAGTTTATAATTTATTGTTCATGTGCTGATCAACCCTGCTCGCACATTCAGGGAATATATTACCCATTCTTAGTAACACTGACTAGTGTGTGTGTGTGTGTGTGTGTGTATACACCCCCATCAATATGTGTCTGTAAGGAGAGACGATTGCAACACAGTCCTTTACACATTTAACTGCTAACCGCACACAAACACACACAAGAACAAAAGCAAACAAACACACACAGACATGCCCTAAAACTAGATACACACATAGGCACAGACAAAAACAGAAATCCCCTAAAAACTACAACAGCGCATGCAAAAAAACACACACACGCTCTAATGAAAAAGACATGCACACATACAAAAACACATCAGGAGAACGTATGTTTCCCTGATATATGGCCCTGATCAAACTCAAATATTGTCTCTGTATAATGTAATTCGGCTGGTTTTTTCTTGCTTTCGTGTGCACACTTTTCGCTGCAGGCTGTTCGCTGGTTTAACACACATAAGAGCGCACAAAACATCTTCACAGACGGATTAACAACAAAAACCTTTTACTGGGGCACAGACTTCCGTCTATTTCACAAAACGTGCTATATGTGTGTTCACATACTTGTGTCTGTGTTTGAGGTGTGTGCAGGATTGTGAAATCCAATTATGAGTGATTATGGCTATTGAGAAGCACAATTATGTTCTCAGTAAGAAGAAGGGAAACAAAGGGGACAGATAGACTTATATAAACAAGAATACACACAGTTATGATAGCTTACAGTGCTCTCATTGAAAAGAGTAGAGAGGATCATTGATAAAAAATGTCATTTAAAAACAAACCACAGCAAGTTGTATGCGGCATGTAAATTCGGGGATTTCGGAAAAGCGATTCAAATGTCAGTAGTGTGCAAAATATATCAGTGCCATATCAGTTATCAACCAATATAATATTAGAGATTTTTAAAGCATCTATAAAGGTTGTTATTGGATATATAAACACTACTGTTGAGTCAGTAAGATTTTTTTTTTTGAAAGAAATTAACATTTCTATTGCAAGAACGAATTACACTGATCAAATTTTACATATTTATACTGTTACAAAAGATTTCTATTTCAAATAATGCTGTTTTGAATGATCTATTGATCAAAGAATCCTGAAAGAAACAAAAATATTAAGCAGGACAACTGTTTTTTAACATGGATAATAATAAGAAATGGTTCTTAAGCAGAAAATCAGCATATTAGATTCTCAAGGATCATGTGAGACTGAACACTGGATGCTTTGACATCACATGAAAAATTATATTTCAAAATATATTCAAAAATAAAACCGTTTTTGTTAAGATTTCACAAATGTACAGTTTTTACTGTATTTTTGATCATTTGATCTCTTATGCTTATTTTGAGCATAAGAGACTTCCCCCAGCCTTTGAAGATTAGTTTATTGAAAGTAAAACACTAAATACCAATAAATATATACGATGGTTTATTATACTAAGTAACTAATGATAATCTCTGACATATTAAATAGTGATATACATGTGCAGAATGTATCATATTATGAGCAGCCCCAGACAGAGATTACCGAATTTAGTCAAATGTTGTAGCAGTTCATAAAAGCAGATATCTGAGGCGTTGACGTGCAGAACTAGAGAATATCTGTGTGTGCGCGTGAGAGAATAAGAGATTTGCATGACTTAAGAAGTTTTGCAGGGTTAAACTCTTAGTGTGACATTTGCCTCCTCTGTCTGCGACCTCTTCTCTGTTCCTGTCTATCCCTTTCTTTTATCCCTCTGTTTCTAGATTCTCTTTTCATCCCTCTCTTTTTTCCCCCATCAATGAAGATGTCAAACTCGTGCCCTTCCTCTGACGGCTAGCTATGACTGAACAAATCAGAAACAGAAAGAGAAAGCGAGCGAGGAGGAGGAGGAATCTGACCTCCTCAACTTTGAAGAAAAGACTTCATCACTTCCTGTCAAATCAGCAGCTGCTGCAGACTGAGAATTTCAGAAGCAGGACCTGAGAGGGATTGTTTGCGAATGTGTGTGGGTGTGTGTGTGTGTGTGTGTGTGTGTGTGTGTGTGTGTGTGTGTGTGTGTGTGTGTGTGTTGGAAGCTCAGATGATGAGAAGATCTCACCAGCATATTTATAATCGTTTAGGTAGCCTAACCCTTCCTGTTCCTAGAGGAAGTTAAGAAGTTTGTGTCCCTCCCTGTGTGTGTGAATGCGTCAGATATGGCAGATATAGTGTTATTTTATTTTTAATTAAGGCTTGTTTCCTCCACTCCAAAGTTTAATTACTCTTAAACTTTTAAATCAAATTTTAATCAAAATATTGTACATTAATATACATATTTATTTATAGTTATTAATAATTATAGAATTTTCCAATTATTCCTAACTCAATAACAACCATTATATAATGCATATTATATTTCTTACAGTTTGATAAACAATATTTAAGGAACCAGACAGAATAACAAATTTCTAGAAAGACTTGGATAATAAAAAAACGCCATTTCCTGCTTAAAATTGAATTAAATCAGTAGCACATTAGAGAGTGGGGGAGATGTCTTAATTCAAATTGTAAATGTAATTATCCACACACACACATATACACTTCAGTTTCAGTGCACTGTGTGAAACAGAGTTAGACCCACAAGCTTACACACACACACACACACACACACTCAATAAGAGGCCTCCTCGCTTTTTAAACAAGTGAACACGGGATTAGACCAGGACTGAATGGCACCAATTAAATACTGAATACAGCAGCCATGCAAATCAGCCTCATTCAAGAGGGAGGGAGAGAGAGAGAGAGCGAGAGAGAGACACACAGACACCTCTTAACACACAAGCGCCTACATTCTGAGAAGGGGCTGTAATCACATGTCTTGGCAATAAGTCTAACCTCCACAATGGACCAACAACTGCCACTTATATGTACACAACACACAGACCTTATTTTACAATTTAAAGACTGGAAAGTTCAGTTTTATTTTTGGTGTGTAACATATCCAACGGGAAAATGTAGTCACCTATCTCTCATTAAACACACACACACACACACACTCAATATGGAGGCGTGGGGTGTATGTATAGAGTGCAGTGGTCATGTGATTGTCCACTCTCAAGGCAGAGCTCCTACAAGTGGCTCTTTGTCTGCGAGAGAGAGAGAGAGAAAGAGAGAGAGAGAGACAGCTTACACATATCCCACTCACAATAACAACTGCACACAAACTCACACACTCAAAAAACACACAGAGCCTTGGGCATCTTGTTGAGAATGAGAGAAATGAGTGAATGGAGTCTAAGAGAAATGAGGAATCTCCATAGCAGAGCCCCCCATCCTCATTAATTCTCTCTCTCGCTCTCTCTCACTCTCTCACACTCACACACACTTTTTTTCTTTTTTTACTTTATTTATATTGTTTTTACAAATAAGCACAATTCCCAAATTGAGGTTAGGTCAGATTTAGCTGACTTCTGAACTGAAGTATAGCTATGAACACACACGCACACTCATACATGCGTATCATTGAGGCCTATTGTTCTTAAACATGGCTAAATATAATTACAACAGATTAAGCCAAAACCTACCACCCAAAAGAAAAAGTTTAGTTTTAGTTTCGGATTTAATTGAAAACAGTATTTATTTAATTTATGAATCACTTTCTTACTTTAACACAGCTAAAAGTTTAATAAAAGGTTCATCATATCCTGCATGAAATCCTAATCTAAATAGATTTCCTTTCATATCCTATCTGATTGAAACACAGAATGCAAGGAAAGGGGATTTCTGGGACTTTTAGTCAACGGGCAACAGTGCACTTGGATTTTATCAGTCGGCCTTGGGGGGAAATGATGACTCCCCATCACACAATCAGACAGAAGAACATTCTTTCACTTGATTCGTTTCCTGCTCTCCTCCTCAATGTCTTTAGCTGCTGTTTTTCACCCATATTACTTTCACCAGTTCAAAGAGGCTAGAGGCTAGGGGTCAAGCTAACGTTCCCTACTGAACTATCGAGATCTGCAAATGCATCATGCGAACAGACAGAATTCACAAGAACTTTTCCACTTTACTGTTTACAGTCATAACACTTCTATTCGCCCTGATCACCCAGGACCAATGCTGACGGTACAAGTGGAAATCACCAGGGATCCCACAAAAGAATAACACAACTAGTTTTAATTTGCAAGTACATTCTGCATTTTTGTAGTTGTGTGTTGACAATACACTTGTCAGTTCACATTTTTTATTGGACTGCCGTACGACATTTGATAGTTTCACATCAAGCTTACAGGAAGACATCTAAATGACAGGTCTTCCCGTCGTGCAAGAAGATATCTTGCATCTGTTCAGCCCTGAAACAATGACTTTAGCCACTGTAGGATTTTCTAGCCTCCGAGTTAACACAAGAGAGGGGAAAAAATCTACTATTTAAGTAACCAACTTTACTGAACCTCTTCATGCCTAATGATAATGAGAATATTAATAATAGCAATATTGCTAGACTATACTGCATTACTCAATTGGTAAATAACTACAAGTAATGGCACTACAAATTTTACAATGGCAGTTTATATTATTGTAAATACTATCACCATCTTTCAGGCAGCATCATATTTTATGAACATTTAAAAAAAAATCTATTTTAAGCTATCC